TCTCTCTCTCTCACACACACACACACACACACACACACACACACACACACACACACACACACACACAGAGCGACGGGGCAAAACACAAAGATCACCTGGGCCACTAGGGGTAAAACGAAAATACATAGGGCCTGGGAAAAGTTGGCAACTATCAGGATATTTTGCAAACATGGACAGTGCCCGGTAGGGGTATTTTGCAAGGATGACAGGTCCAACCGACGCCGGGGGCATTTCGCAAAACCTTTTTTGTGTCAGATGGGTATTCCGCTCTACCCACATCTTATAGGGGTATTTCGCAAATTATCCCTATTTTAAAAGAAGATTTAAAAGAAGAAAAACATTAAAAAATAAAAAGTGGCATTAAAAAAAACACTGTGCATCCCAATCGCGCAACGTGAAGAAATGAAAGTCTTATCGACTAACGCTCTCAAGCTTCGCCTGCCATACGATCGAACTGCCTGATACAATCAGTTAATCAGTTATTCTGGCTCTAGAGAAAGCCAGCAATCGGCAATCACAGAGAAAATAGTGTGTGAGAAAAAGGTGTTTCGTGCAAAGAAAGGAACCTCACCGACAATGTATCTGCATCGTTGAAACCAGCGGTCAAAATTGTGATTGATCTTCCTGAATCGTCAAGGCTGGACCTCGACAGTGGTTGTAGCACACTACTGTGCAACTGATTGATCACCAAATCCTCACCAGATGTGCTGATGCGGTTGCGAACTGCAAATAACCTCAGCACACTCTGAGTAACTCTCTTTCTGAGACTGTCAACTCTAGCTGAGGAATCTGCCTCTGATGCCTCATTTGGCATGACTGTAGTCTCAGTCGTAATCACCGCAAGCCACAAAATTTCAGCCACCTTCTGGCTTTCCAGTTTACCCTTCCCGGATGTCGTCCGAACACTAGCGACCGCCTCCACCGTCCTGCCAGAAGCAGCTGGGAGGGCATCACTGTCGCAGAGGGCCTCTCCATCACAGCCATATAATGCAATTGTTCCATCGCGAAAGATCACAGCCGTGCCTGGCCTGGTCGCAGCTTGGCTATCACCACTCTTCCCTTCTCGACCCTCACCTGGCACATCACAAACACAGCCCAGCAATATTGGAAACGTTTTTCTAACTTTTTTCGCTAATTTCAGTGAACGAACTCCCGGTCAAAGAAATCGCCTCACCTCCCAATCTCAAGCAGTTCCGATCCAGACAAACATAAGTTCACCCTACACGCTAAACGAGCAGAATCAGTCATTCTGGGGTAGGGTGCCCGACCTTGGGCTTTCTGAACATTGCCGAGTTGCACTTGAGGCCCGGAGCAACAAGTATAAACAACAATGCCCACAACCTCCGGTGCCTACCGTCTTCACCCGAATAGAACGCCCGGTCATTATCCCTGCATCAGGACCGAAAGTTGTGCCAAATACAGCTATAATGACCGGGTGTTCTATTCGGGTGAAGATGGTAGGTATCCACATGGCTCCAATGCCCTCCCTCACACTTGGACCAGCTACCATTTCCACTGCTACAGCAGTGCAAGCAGCGGCTATTACTCCCCTAACAACAGGTACATGCCTGGTTAACCAACCACTGCCCGGAAGGGCTGTCTCCATTTTCAAAAGGTGAAAATGAAGACGCAAAGTAGGCAGCAGCATAGGTGCAGTGGGAGGCACAACCAAAGCCAAGCAAACAGCATCTACAAATATCAGAGACCCCACAAACCAACAACGAAAAAGAACTCCAGTTGATTCAACCTTCCCCACTCAGACTGCAGGAAAAGAGTTTGGTACCTGCCCGTGCTGTCACCTGTTAAGGCTTGGCAGGTCGGGTGCGGAGGTAGAGGTTTAAGCCGTTTAAAAGCATAATAACAATAATAATGGCCTTTGAAAAGAGCTGGCAGTACACACGCCAGCAATCCACAAAATATCCGAGCGACCAAACACATGCCTTCTGAGAACACTGGAGACTCTGTGGAGAGCACAAGTTAGCATGATGGTGAATCACACGGAGCTTACACAATTGCTCCACTGACCTGCAATCACACATGTTCATTCAGGTGCATCCACCAGCGAGGGTAAAAGAACGTTGTGCCATTGAAAATTTGAGCAACATCAAGTCAAATATGTTGGTTCCCACCCCCGTGTTGTGGCTGAATGATACACAAACATGTAGCTGACAGTAAACAGATCACGAATTCAAATTCTGATCAACCGCCTTCAAAAACTCTGCTGATTCCTGATCGTCTGGGAAAAAAACTCCCATTATCCCTAGGTCTCCAGTACTCTTAACTCGCTGCGCACTACTTCGTTTTGCTTCTGACTGTACTGTCTATTGTCTTGTCTGTCCGTTCTGTCTTCTCTGCTCTCGTGTCCCTGTTCTGTACGGTCTCTGCTCTGTTCTATCTGTCCATCTGTCTGTATGTATGTCAGTTTGTCTCTGTCGTTCCGTCTGTATGCATGTGTGGATGTGCATATGCACACACGTAGGTATGTATGTATGTGTGTATGTATGTATGTATGTATGTATGTGTGTATGTATGTATGTATGTATGTATGTATGTATGTATGTATGTATGTATGTATGACGGTCAATTCGTCGGTCAGTCGATTCGTTGGCTGGCCAGATAGTTAGCTGGTCGGCCGGTCGATCTCTGTGTCTGCATGTCCCTCTGTCAGTGCATTCGTCTGTCTGTCTGTACATTTGTCTGCCACGTATCTGATCAATCAAATGAATCCAAGCGACTCCTTCCTTCAGTTTTCCTTCTTCCTGTCTTTCTTCCTTCTTTCCTCTCTTAGTCTCTCACTTTCCCTCTTCCTGCTTCCCTGCCTGCCTAAGTGTCCGCCAGCAGCCACACTTGCCTGTCACTTCCTGGTTGGCTGCTTTCCTAAGCAAAAGAACAGTATACTCAAATGCCGTTTCTTTTCTGCTGTTACCATCAAAATCATAATTCAGAACGCCTAATTCGGAACCTATACATATTGTCACATGATATCAGAGCACCAAAGCGAAAAACAGAAACAAGAAAAACTTAATTCATTTTTAATCTTCTTCCTTACGACTCCCCCTGTTCAGAACCTCTTGCGTACAAGGCCGCCCACGAGGATGTAGGTTGAGCGGCGGCTGCCCCCACCCCCGTGTGTCATATCGACCCACTTGCACACAGCCACATATCACACAACACCACCGTTTCCATAATTGAAATGGAGCCACTACAGCGGATGCATGGCAATGCATAAATGTAATACCGTTAATGCACCTTTTCTGTTTTTCGTTTTGGTGACAAGACCAGGGAAAAGGAAGACCTCTACATGAAAACTGAGCATAGTATGTATGACCAATGCCTGCCAGATGGAAGGGCATATGTAATGGTCTGGATTCATTGAACTTACTTTTCGCTTCGTTGGGAGACTGGGAAGACGTCCCAGTTACCCCGGAAAAGGGATGCAGCGAATGCAACTCTTTCTGTGGGAGAGGTACTTTCTTGGTGGCACCCCAGAGCGAGAACGATGTGCCTGCTACTCCCTCCTTCTCACTTCCACTCCTTGTCCAGGACAGCAAAAAGTTCTCCAAGGATGCTCCTTTGGCTGCCTGCACCACTGCATAGAAATACCCTGACTTCTGGTCACATGCTGCGGGCAGTAAGAACCGCACATTCCCACTCCCAAGGGGCCAACTCTGCGTCCTCGCCTGCACAGCAAACAACTAGAATCAACAACGACTCTGCTCCCTCTCTCTCTCTCTCTCTCTCTCTCTCTCTCTCTCTCTCTCTCTCTCTCTCTCTCTCTCTCTCTCTCTCTCTCTCTC